CAAATGTTTCACATCCTGGGATGGTTCTTGTCTACTCAGAGGAATAACTTTACTCACCTCATGGTTCTCAGCTCTTAGAATCCAAATCCCTTAGTCCAATCCTTGGAATAAAAGACCTGTGGTGCACCCTTGCTTAGAAAAAGTCAAGGGCTTAATAAATGTCTTTTCACATTTTATATAACCCTGTGGAAATAAATGTTAGTTGTCCCCAAAACTCCACTCTCCCATTCTCCGGGATAACAGGATCCTTTATTTTTTGCTGGGTTTCACAGCCACCTGGAATAAGGATTATGTTTCTCAGCTTCCCCCTCCTTGAAGCTATATGTGGCTGTGTGACCAATGGGATGCATTAATGTGATGTATGAAACTCCTAAGTTGCATCCTTAAAGACAGGCAATGTGCCCTTCTTGGCACCACTTCTGCCTCCTTCCTAGCTTGAATGAGGACGTGGTATTGAGCTATTTGGAATGATAGAGACGAGAGAAACACCTTAGAAATGGCAGAACCTGGGTCCCTTGCACCTTGGAATCCCATTCCAGCTCTGGCCTAACAGATCCTAGTGAATAAACCCCAGACTTGTTTGAGGCACTAATATTTGAGGGGTCTCTGTTGCTAAGTCAAGTCCAACAAAAAAGTCCGTTAACTTAAACTATTAGTTCTTTATTGGGGTGTGCATACCCACCTCCTCCCCATCATACACACATGCACCGTGGCCTAGCCCCCAGTAGATACTCAAGAACTAGTTGAGGAATTTCTTGTTGGTTGAGATCAATTGCACTTACTGGCATCACTACTCCCTGCTCCCTGGGGTACCAGCTCACAAGAGTGTAAGATCAAGCTTTCCCACAGGGTTCTGATGCCCAGGAGGGTACCTCGTGGTGTGTCAAGTAATATGCAAAGCAGCACTTTCCTAGAGACCATTTTGCTCCAAGATTTGGTGAAAAGCGTTTTGAATTGTTTACCTCTTAAAAGGCTTTGTCATATGCACAAGACAGAGGTGGTAAAATTCCACTTTCTTGTGTCAGCCAATCTTGTACTTTTCATGAACACCGGGAAAGCAGGAATGTTTATGAGCAGCAAGTGATTGAAAAAGTTGTTCTTTTTGTGTTATCAGGGATACCTCAGTGGTATCCAAGTGAACTGGGCAATTACTTTAGGGAGAGGAGATTCAGCCAGCCTTTCCCTAAGCATGCTCTATTGAGGGATGTCATATGGGGGAAAGAAAAAAAAGGTTGCATGGTCAAATGAGTTTGGGAAAAGCTGGATTTTTAAAAAAGATAAACAAGTTTCTTTGCTGTGGGACTTCTCAGAGTTTTCAATACGGTGATGAGCATTATGAATCTGCAACAAAGAGATATAGCACGGAAAGTTGCCCACAGAACATCCTTCATGGTGGAGACTTCCCAAGGAACTCATTTGCTGAGTTATGTCAGTGTGACTCTTTTCACTGCTGGTCATGTCTGCCAGGGCGGAGGAGCGGAAACATGTTTCTAACCTATCAAATTCTAGAGGGAGCAATGTGCCAATTCAACTCCTCTGATATTTTGCCCTCTCTCTTTCCCAAACCCCCTCCTCTTTTGTGATGGTTAGTTTTATGTGTCAGCGTGCCTAGGCTGTAGTACCCAGTTATCCAATCAAATGCTAACGTAGGTGTTGTGTCAAAGATGTTTTGTAGATGTGGCTGACATCTGCAATTAGATGACTTTAAGTAAAGATTATCCTCCATAACGTGAGTGAGCCTCATCCAGGCAGTTGAAAAGCCTTGAAAGCAAAACTGAAGTTTCCCTGAGGAAGAAGAAATTCGGTTCATAGACTACAGCGGCAGCTCCTGCCCGAGAATGTTCCAGTCTGTTGGCCTGCCCAGCATTTATAAATTTGTAGATTTTGGACTTGCCTCCAGTCACATAAGCCAATTCCTTGGATGTGTGTGTGTGTGTGTGTGTGTGTGTGTGTGTGTGTGTGTATGCAGTGAGTAGTGATGTCAGGAGATGTACTAGTATATATATCCTATAGTTCTGTTTCTCTGGTAGAACCCTGACTGATACACCATTCAAACAGAGCAGGAAGTAGCACACAGACATTCCTGTCTAATCCTTTCCCAAAGTGTGAGCCTGTGGTGCGTTTAGCATTGTGGAGGGAGTAATGGGAAGGAAATCTTCTTGCAGAGACAAAGGGTATTGGCCAAAACAAGAAGGAGGGAGGATTTTCCACAGACCGTAAAGAGATTCTCTGGGGCTGGGGGAAGGAGAAAAAAATTACAATGATTAAATACGTCTGTGGGGCTTCAGAGAAAAGGGCACCAGTAACTGGCATGCCAAGGGCCCAAGGGAGACAGCAAGGCTGCAGGGAGGACGTGGCTACATGGTTCTTCTGAGCCAACAGGACCAAGCAGGGATTCCCACACGCCAACCCCAGCCCAGAAGCATGAGACCTGAAGGGGCCATATGGACTGGCTTCTTGAAGACCTTGACATAGCAGTGGGAAATAAGAGAATCCTAAAAGGACTGAGGTTAGGGATAGAGACTGAAAATGGAAATTAAGTTTCTTCAAAGGAAAATAGAGATGTGCTTCAGATTCACAATAAAATGTTTATCGCCTTATGATCCGGTTGTGTTTTGTTGTTGTTTACTTCTGATCACTCATAAAAAGTTCAGCTCTTCCAAGTCGTTTCAACTTCCTCTCTCAATTAAGCCGCTCTAACTATTTTTGTTTACCAAAGTAAGCCAACACTAACCCCCAGATCCTGTTGGAGTAAATTCCTCAATAATATAAAGTTCCAAAAATCCTGGAAATTTGTATGTGTCTTTTCAAACTGTAATATTATGAAATTTCATTTGAAACTCAGAACTTGGATAGATAGACAAATCCAAAAGTTTGAACCATCAACTTGAAAATCAGATATTCAGAACATTCTAAAACTCATCCAAAGTGGTGACAGATTTAGTATTGTCCTTTAGGCTGCCATTGATGACCTTGACAGTGAATCATAACCAGCAGTCAGTCTCAAAAGTGTAAAGATGTACTCAGGTTCATCACATGGGTTCATTAAACAGGTTCATCATATGGGTTTTATTGTCGTGGAAACACAAATGAACGTAAACTTTGGTATTTCTTGTGTGAGAAAACCCTGAGCAATGATTGCATATAACCTTCTATCTTGCTGGAACATTCAAAAACAAAAAGCAAACTTTGAAAGATCGCCAAAGTTTCTATACCAAAAGAAGAGGAACTTGAGCAAGGACCAATATAATGAAAAGCAAAATCAAATAAGCAAACCTACACATTGGTTGAAGCGCTCTGTGAGGTCAGTTTCAGGATTGTCCGAGAAGGTGAAGCTCATGTAATGAGAGAAGCTGTGGTACAACCTTGCTTGTTGTATAGTTGTCCCAATCTGCTTTAAAATAAGCAGCCAAAGCTAAAAAGGGTGGTCTTATTAAACTTATTCATACAGGCTGATTTTCATGTACTCAAAAAGCATATTTGAACAGTTGGTTGAGAAACTAGAGATAACCAAGATCTTTTTGTTTTATTTTAATAGACTTATAGCATTTTTTCTGATTATAAAAATAATGCAGACTTCTGGGTGGAATCATCCAAGTAGAGTAAGAACGCAGACTCTCTCTCTTCAAGTACTCAATGAAATAAAGGAAAAAGAGTGAAATGAACCAGCAAAAAGTCATAAGCAGCAACCAAAAAAGGAAAAGGGTAGAACCTTATACCATAGAATTCCAAAATGGTGGCCAAGAAAAGAGATGGAATATTCTGGTGTGATCATAATGGCTCCATACATCACTCTTAACAAAAGTAGAATGTAGGAAAGTAATTGAGTCCAAAGATTCCTGAGATTTCTCCCAAATGCCCTCACAATTTGGAGAGGCATGGCCTGAGAGATTAAGTAGGCAGATCTAGGAAAAGCTACAGGAAAACTCCAGCAAGTGGAAGCCCCTCCATCCCATGCTGGGGCCTCAGCAGAGGCAGGAAGGGCCACGAGGGCTTCTCATCTTTCCAGTGAGAGAGATAACAGGAAAAAAAAAGATTATAAACCCGATCTAACAGTCGAGGGGGAAGAAAAGTAACCCAAGGAACAGAACTAGATTCCCCATGAGAGTTTTCTTCTATAGAAGAACTTAATAAAAATATAAGCTCAATAAATACGAAATGATAGAACAATAAAATGAAATTATAAGGAATTTCACAGAGCTAAGGAAACAAATTGTGAACCAAAATAAACTTATTAAAAATCTAATAAATAAATTAGAAACAGCAGGATGAAACGGAACAGACTGAGCTGAAAAATAGAATTAATGGGATTGGAGGAAAACTTGGTATAATCACAGTGAATGAGGAGAAAATAAGACAAAGAAATTAAAGCAATTAGATAAATGATAGACGTAGAGGACAAAGATTGTCAAACGTAAAGATAATTGGTGCCACTCGGGTTTAAAAAAATAGAATCAAGAAATATTCTGAATATAATATAGGAAAATTTCACAGAAATAAAAGAAGAATCAGCAATTCAAAATGGCACATCATGTACACCAAGAATAATTATTCCAGAATAATAAACATCAAGATATAGCCTAGTTAAGTTATTGAACATCAAAGAAAACGAATAATCAAAATAAATAAGTCAAGACAGACGTCAAGAAGACACGTCCTAGTTAAAGTATTGGACTTCAGAGATAAAAGAAGAGTAAACGGAATAAGTCAGAGGGAAAACATCAGACTGGCTTCAGAGTTCTCACAGCAGCATTCAATGCCTGAACACAGTAAGAAGATGTCTACAAAGGCCTGAGGGAAAGCAGGTTTGATATAACTGCAAACTGTAACAGATTGTTGTTCAAATGTAAGGTCACAGGCAGATGTTCTCAAACATGATACAATACAGGAATAGAGCACCCTAGCACTTTCTTTTTAAGACTACTCAATGAAAAAAGGAGAGAAGACCAGGTCAGTGAGTGTGTTCGAAGAAACCCTCAGGAAGATCCCCTAAATGGGACTTAGATCTCCAGCCCAGGAGCCCACGTGGAGATTGTCCTTTCTCTGGGGGAAAAATTAGACCAAAGGACCTGAGCTTCGTGTTCAGGCCGTAGGTGCAAAGTGCATCTGCATGGAAGCAAAATGATACCTGCAAAGACCTTCCTTGATGCCTCTTTGTTTGGGATCTTGCTCACCTGGTCACTTTCATATCACTTTCTAATATGAAATAAAGCAAAATGAAGGTGTCATTGGATTTCACTCTGGACCCACAATTTCTGCCCTAGAGAAAGTAACTAAAACCATAGTGTACCCTTCCTTTTGTGGGAACAATTGCACAGCAAACCCTGCTGTCTGCTCCCAGCTGCTGCTTCTCCCAGGCCAGCTCTGGAGTCCAGGACCTTTCAGACAACTGCAGAAACAAGGCTGGAAGCAGGGTGGCTGGTAGTGTCTAGACACTGTCTGGGTGCTGCATTTGATCGGGAACAAAGGGCATGTGAAGCCCTTTTTCCCATCTGTCTCTTGAAGCACTGAAATTGCCACCTCACTGCAAGAAGAAAGAATTACAGCACCTCCAGCCCAACAGAGAGTCATTGGAGGCTGGGACACCCCCCCAAACCCTGAGGGCAAGGACAGGCCCCCAGAGTCGCCCCTAGAATGAGATGTACATGCCAGTTAAATTCTCCTCTGAGGCAATCTCCTGCTTCCTACCAGATGAGAGACTGAGGGACATGGACCTCACTGCAGAGGCAGTGTAGCAGAGTGGTTAGGATGAGGACCTGGGCACTACATGGCCTGGGTTTTCATCTCCTCTGCTACTTCCTGTGTGATGTCAGACAATTTCCTTTAATTTCTCTGTGCTTCAGTTTCCACACCTGTAAAATGAGGCTAAGAGTGGTACCCACTTCAGAAGGTAGTCATGAGGATTAAATGTTAGTCCATGTAGTGCACTCAGAGAAGCCCCTGGCACATAGTAAACCCAATAAAGTATTGGCTATGGGTATTAATTCTGGGAAGGAATAATCTAGAAGAGCCTCCACACACACACACTCCAATGCCACCCCGGGCAGCAGGGCTTCTCTGCCCAGGAGCTGGAAGCAAGCAAACCTCTTCTCTTATAAAATCCTCTGAGAAAACGGATTGGGGTACAGGGGACTCGGGTTTCCTCCCTGGACTTCTGAGAGCACTATGGCCCACCCCTAGGGTTCAACATGGGCCAGGACCACATCCTCTCTGTCAAGGTCTGGTTGACATCAAGTAATATGCATTTTAACTAGAGCTTTATCACTGACAAATGGACCTCCTCTGTGCCATCCATTCAGTCCTCATCACAATGGTGTAGATGAAGTGCAATTATTCCCATTTTCAGATGGGGAGTCTGAGGCTCAGAGCAGTCAAGCGACTTTCCCAGCTTCCCAGAGCTTTAGATGAGCGGGGGTGCAAATCCATTCTTCTTCCCCCAAATCAATGCCCTCGTCCTTGTGTGTGTGTCACTGTATCTCTCTGTCTTTCTCTGTGTGTCTCTGTCTTTGTGTTTTTCTCTCTGATGTATGTTTGGCTGTCTCTCTCGTTCTATTTTCTCTGATTTTCGTTTCTCCTATCCCTTTCTTCTTTCTTCCAAGTTCAGGCCTTAGATTCCCCACAATACATCTAAAACAAAAGAAAGGGCTTAGGGCAAATAGAAGCCCAGGTGACAAGTCTGCCTGGGGTCGAGTTCTGTGTGCAGGAACAGAGGACACCTTTGCTGCTCCAGGAATAAGCAGAAGGGAAAGAGAGAAGCAGCCACTGCAAAAGGCAGCCCCTCAGCCCTCCTGTCCTCTTTTCCATTTCCATTCCAATCCTCTGTTCTGGTCATGCTTCTGGAACCCACTGCTCCTTCTAAGGGGAGAGAATCCCAAAGAAAGAGAGGTGATAGTGGTACCTCTAGAGGGAAGAGGGAAGCAGGCCAATCCCTGGGCAGAGAAGTGGCTCTGGCAGCTGCAGAAGTGAAGCCCCGTGTGGTTTCCTTCACCAGGGAATTGTGTGTCTGTTTAGAAGGGGGAAGCATGGGCCACTGAGGCTCAGAGCCCCTGAAATGGCAGTCTAAGCTACAGAAGCTCATCTTTTTCCCTCCCCACAGTAGTGACCAACCTCTACCAACTGGGCAGAGAAAGGGTGCCACCTCCTGGCTAGACACGAGTTTAGGACCAATGCAGGCAGTTGACAACCCAAGTCACACCTTCTGAAGTGCAACTTGAGCACAATCTTCAGTGCCTTACACTATAGTCCCCCACAGCCCCTTCTAGACTTTGGAAGTTAGCAGATTCCGGTGAGCCATGGCAAAATGACCCTGACGCCACTCAACAATTAGGGTCAGCAAGAGCACCACCCTTGTCTGTACGGTCATGTGTAGCTGGACAACTGTCTAAATATTGTGTTGAATTTGCATTGTTTTTAATAACAGGGAAAGTGCAGGGGAAAGTGTTGGTACAAGTGAGAAGGTAAAATTCTCATAAACTTAGGACAGTGGAGGCCAACTTGAATCATGAGACTTGAGGGGCCACTCAGCATCCTCCAGCCAGCCAATTTCATCTTCAACTGTGGAGGAAAAAAGTGAAATGAAAGACATTCTGAAATAGAGCTAGAAATAGAGCAACAAAGGTTATGTCTAAAAGGCAAGGTGTAATTAAGGGTTACATAATTTGATCAGAATACCATTGATAACATGTAAGTCTATTGTTCAGCTTTCAGACAGTCTGCTTCTATATGTTTTCAAAAGTGTATTATAACAAAAGCAAAGGCAACAGCATCCACCTGGCTCAGTACACGCCACATGGTAAACATTTAGTCCCTGTTTCTCCAGTGTTGGCACCATGTGACACCATCAACACAGCATGATCAGAAAGGAGCTAGAGGCAGCATGGAGTGAGGAGAACAAAATGGAACCAAAGGCAAATCCCAGCTCTCCTATTTGAAAGCCCTATGGCTTTAGGAAAGTCAGAATAAATCTCTCTGGTCTCGGTTGTTTGTCCGTAAAATCGGATGATAACAACACCTGCCAAACCTACCTCCCGGAGTTGGTGTAAGGTTCAGATGAGATAAAGTGAAGGAAACAGAGAAGAAAACTAATGTTTATCGAATGTGTATGTGCTGGCAGTGGGCTAAGCACTATATGCCTTGTCTCATTTAATCCCATGAGGAATGTACTATCACCTGCAGTTTACAGAGGAGGAGGTTTGGAGAGGTTAAGCAAATTTTCCAAAGGTCCCACAGGTCGTAAGTGGTAGGTGGAATTCAAATTTAGGAGCACCTGACTTTTCAGTGCGATATTTTATAAACGATGAAGTGCTATACAAATGTAAGGGCAGTTTTTACCCAGGAAATTTGTGGGCAATGACTTATAAGTGAGAAGTTAGGACAATTCAGTATGTGAAATTTCTGGGCCCATCTTCCTACTTCCCTTGCTCTTTGCCCCAGACCTCAGATTCTCTCTCCACCCACCCTCCAAAATCTAGCTTCTGGAAAGTTCCAGTATGAGTCATCTACATATCTCTGTAACTTGAAGCGGAGAGGGCCTTCTCATGGAAGTGCTTGCCTTTCTGGCTTCTCTCTAGTGACCAAGGGAACAATTTTCCCACCTAAAGGAACTTCCAACATCAGGGAGCTGGTGGAGAAGCCTGCGGTTCCGGGAGCAGACATGTCTTCACGGTTCCTGAAGCCACATCACTTAAGGCTCTATTTAGGATGGACCTAACTGTTGATATTATGGACCACCATGACCATTCATCCCTCAACACCATCTTTGTCCCCATCAGCGATAGACTCCCAGATTGGACAGACGTGGAGTCCCAGGGTAGAATTCTATGTGTTCTATTACACATTCCTGCCAATCTCTCAGAGGCCCTGAATTCCATACTAGGGCTACAACTGCCTTTCTCCATCTCTATCTCCTGCTAGTCCCAAGGTATCTCAAACCCAACCCCTCTAAACAACCTGACTGTCCCCAGTCCTCCCTATCTGAACACTTTGGGTCAGTCAATAGCATAACCTTCCACACAGATGTCAAAACTAAATCCACAGTGTCTGGCACATAGTAAGCACTCAATAAACATTTGTAGAGTTTATGCATTGAACAAATATTGACTGAGTGTCATCAATGTGTGAGCTGGGGTTACTGCAGTAAACAAGAAGAGGAAAGACAGAGATAGACGAGGGATACGTACGTAATGTAACCTCATGCAGTAATGAGCACTAATAAGCGAGCTAAGCAGGACAAGGAGGTAGTGAGTGATGAGTGACGGAGTGGAGGGAGGGGTCTACTATAGAGAGAGTGGTCAGCATAGGCTCTCTGAGGAACTGACTTTTGAGCCTAGATCATACTGAAGTGAGGACATGAGTCATGCAGATATCTGGAAGGAAAGTATTCCAGGCAGACGGAATGGCAAACACAGAGGCCCTGAGGCAGTACCAAACTTGGGAATTTGAGTCTGAGCATGATGGCTGAGATCGCCATAGCAAAACGAGCTAGGAGAAAAGTAGTAAAAGATGAGGTTGGAAAGATAGACCAAGGAGGGTCCTGTGGAGCCTGAAGACCATGAGAAAGCCTAAGATGGGACGTCTTTGAAGCCTTTTTGATCAGAGAGTGAAATGATCTGACATTTTTATTTTAAAGTATAATGTGTATTCTTATATAACTTACATATATTCATAATTTACATATACAATCATATATTACAGATATTCATATGTTGTATGTATAAAGCATATATTATGTATATGTCAAATATTAAATAATTTAAAATTTTTAATCTAAGTTTGATTGTGTTTAAAATATACAAAATAGGACAACTAATTAGCCAGGAAGCACCTTCTGTTGTCAGTCTTCATATGACAGGGAAAATCATTTAGATGTAAGATGCGAGCTAAGTTTATCCTGAATATAGAATAGAGTCTGGATGTAGAATAATAGTCTAAAAAAAGATATAATTCCTTCCAGTAAACCCAAAAAAGGCCAATAATTTCTTTCATTATCCCTAAATTTGTTTCTTTTTTTGCT